TCTTTTAACATTAGCCTTTAAGAGGCTTCTTGCTTCAAAAAATGGGTCCCTAAAACAGTGATGGAGAACCTTTTAGAGCTTTCAATAATACAAACAGCCCACTTGGGCATGCATGCCATAGGTCTGTCACCACTGCCCTAGAATATCTGCATCTCCTGAGAGCTTCTTAGAAATGCAAATTGTATCCTCTCCCCCCCACAATGAATCACAATCTCCATTTTTTTGCATGTCTTTTGTTTTGGGGCCAGGGATTGAAGACAAGGACTCTTGCACGCTAAGCAAGTACTTTACCACTGAGCTACATCCCCAGCCCAGAATATGCATTTTAACAGAATCCATAGGTGATCCATGTGCACACTAAATCATGAGAAACATCCATCCATACCTTCTGTTTTTCCCTGTCCTCCCTTTAGTGTCTGCTGGAGTGTCCCTGACAGGCTAACTAGCAAGCAGCCCAGGAGCTTTCTTTACTAATATTCTTGAATTCTGTGGCCACCTTCAAAAATGGTCCTCCTTACTCCTATTGGAAATGCTGTGGGTGGGGACAGAAGGTCTCAGCCTGGGGCAGTTCAGTATCAGATATGAGTCATCCAGTGGGATTTTCTCCATGCCACAAGCCAAAAGTCTGGGTTTTGTTACTTTATGTTTGAGTTATAGAATTCTAAGTTTCTGAATGAGTCTGTCCCTGTGTTTGTCTTACAGTGCAAAGAAAGGAGGTACAGGCCCGAGCTGTATTCTACCCTCTTTTAGGGTTGGGAGGAGCTGTGAACATGTGCTATCGAACCCTCTACATCGGGACAGGTGAGACAGTCAGGAGCAGAGACATCAAGTCACTGGATGTCTTAAGCTCTAATTATCAACACTTTTACCCTCAGAAGCTAGAACGGCCTGAGGGAAGCTCTTTCTGAATTGATGGGCTTAACCCAGGAGATTTTCCAACAAGAGATACCAAGAAACATGACAGTTTGGTGCTTTCCAGATTCAAGCCCTTTTGCTCTCTGTATTTGCCCTGTGTGGCACTGAGGATTAAAGTCAGCTCTGACTGCTGCTTTGGAGCATCTGAAGCACTGCAGGGAAAAACACAAGGAGAGGGCAAATGTTTGTCCTGGACAACTTCAAAAATGATGAACATACCCACATACCCAGCCTTCAGTTAACCCTGCGTCTGACACAGCAACAGACAGATTAACCTTAGCCTAGGAATTTCTCTTTCAAGTCATATAAACCCCTGCACCATTGTGTTGTGTTCTCATGGAACTAGCCCATCTTCTTCAGTAACTCACTTGTTCTTTCTGGGTAGCAGTCATGGGTTCTAAAGTAGATCGGTTAACACAGACAGCTGTTTAGCAGAGGGTTGGAAAAGACATCTAATTGTGTTCAAAAGTAGGAGCAGGTCCTGAGCTACCTGCCCCTTGAGGTTTCTACTACCACCCACCAAGAAGCTAACTCCTTTCTTCCCTCTCTTCTACACATACACTTTGTAATCTATTCTCTGCTCTCCTTTCCTCCTGCTGCTTTGCAGGAGCTGACATGGATGTGTGCCTTACAAACTATGGTCATTGTAACTACGTGTCCGGGAAACATGCCTGCATATTCTATGATGAGGTGAGGAGTGGAGATGCACTGGGAGGAGCTTTCCCAGCCTAAGGGCTCTGCCCCTTACTGGTTTTTGTTCACTTCCCTGGGAGGAGGGTTCCTTTCTTCTTCCCTCCCTGTCATACCTAGAAGAGAAGAGTCTTGGTGTAAAAGGGCATCCTACCATAGGTACCTGCTTCCAGGAACAAGGCTATGGTTTTAGCTGAGGTTGATTATAGGCACAACAGGGAGAGCCCACCCTGGTAGGGGGGTCTCAAAGGAAGCTGAGCTCTGTGGATGTATCCCTGTGAGTTTCATCATCATCTGCTTGTGCCATATCAACAAGAGCCAGCAGTGAGGAGGCAGAAGAATGGAGCAGGGTGGGGGGCACTAGGAAGACAGGCTTCCCCAAAGAGGTGAGTCTTCCCCCATTCTGGAAGATTGGGGCCATGATTAGGGAGGAATATGAATACTCCCTAGGTAGAGCAGCATAGCCTTCTCTGTATGTCCTTTCTCCCCTTAGCTCCAGGCCCCACACAACAGACCACACATCTTATCTCCCCTCCTCCTCTTCAGAATACCAAACATTATGAGCTGTTAAACTACAGTGAGCATGGGACAACGGTGGACAACGTGCTGTATTCCTGTGACTTCTCTGAGAAGACCCCGCCAACCCCCCCAAGCAGTATTGTTGCCAAAGTGCAGAGCGTCATCAGTAAGTTGGAGCAGAGGCCTGAGGCCTCAGTTATGATGGTTCTGCCATGCTGCCGATGACCTGCAGTCTCTTGCCTTCCCAGTCCCATTGGCCAGGCTATCCTTGCTCATGGGTTCAAGGAAGCCCTTGGAGAAGCAAGGGCTGAGCACTTAACATGTGTATACAATACAGACCTCTTTAGGGACTTCAGGCTCCACCAGCCCTTTCTGAATGTCCCTTATCTCTAGTCATGTAGCAGTTGGAATAGAGAGTTGCAGGGGGTGGCCCTGGCAAACAGCCAACAGGGTCAGCTCACTGGTCCTCTCCTGTGACCATCTCCTTTTTCCCCAGGGCGCTGCCGACATCAGAAACAAGATGAAGAGCCAAGTGAGGAGGCAGCCATGATGAGTTCCCAGGCCCAGGGGCCACAGCGGAGACCCTGCAATTGTAAAGCCAGCAGCTCAAGCTTGATTGGGGGCAGTGGGGCCGGCTGGGAGGGCACAGCCTTATTGCACCATGGCAGCTACATTAAGCTGGGCTGCCTGCAGTTTGTCTTCAGCATCACTGAATTTGCGACCAAACAGCCCAAAGGCGATGCCAGCCTGCTGCAAGATGGGGTCTTGGCCGAGAAGCTCTCTCTCAAGCCTCACCAGGGCCCTGTGCTGCGCTCCAACTCCGTTCCCTAGGGCTGGCGGCTACCCTGCCACCAGCCTATATACCCGCCTAAGACTCCTGCAATGCAAAAATGTACACAAACCAAGCCCGGGTGTTTTCTATACTCTACCAGGAAACCCTTCAATCTTTGCATGAAATGAAGAAAACTTTTGACTTTTTTAAAAATCCTTTTTCTTTTCTCAAGTTCTAGGGGGCATTTGCACATATATTTGTACTCAACATTTCATGAGAAAGCGGCAAACCCGAGCTGAGGAACAGCGTGGGCAGGGAAGGGAAGACCTGTGGTCTGGACACTTCTTCCAACATAAACCCTTCCCCCCGCCTCCTGCTCCCTCCCCCTCGCCCACTGTTGTAAAATAATCAGAAACTTGTTCTATTTTGTGGCAGTGACAATAGTTTTATATTAAAAGAAAAAAATACAGTTTTCATACAGCAAAATCTATACAATATCATTGTTTTATTTAATATAAAGATCGCTACCCACCCTCTTTCCATGGTTCCCACCCTCTGAGTTATTTTCCCTTTCTGCAGCGGTTGCACTACAGGTAGCTACTGTGTATTATGGACAAATGAGAAATGAATTCTTTTTCTGGCTGTCCATCTATTTTATTTCAAGTAAGGAAAAGTGTATTTGGATTTTGTGTAAATACATCTAGTGATGACATTTTTTTCAATGTTTTTAAAAACTGTACAGTACATGTGCTAGAACGTTTTCTCAAATTGTCTATTGTAGCAAAAATGTTTTGTCGTAACCTGTTTTGTCTCCTTTTTTTTGTTCTCTTGCCACTTTTCTCCTCTTCCTCCCACCCCAGCTCCCTCCTCTCCTCCCACCCCTACAACTAGTACCAATGTACATAGTAATTGTAATGTTTTAGACTTTACAGAAACTTTCCTGTATTCTGTATATAAAAAAAAAAACTTCAAATTATGTTTTCTGCCTGTCTGTCCTACCTGTCATCACCCTTAAAGGGGACCCTCCCTGAGATCTGGGTCCAACCACTGGAGGACCCTTTGAACAGGTCTTACTCCCAGGAATTCAGTTCCCAAGGGTAGTTTAGGAAAGAAGGGAGTTGGAGGTGAGTGAGCCTGTGCAGGGTACAGAGCAGTGGAAAAGTACTATTTCTCTAGAGAACCCTAATACAGTGGAATCCAATCACTGATCCTAGCTGTGCCACTTCTAGTTATGTGACTTGAAATCACAACTTCACAACTGCCAGTCTGTCAGAAGACAAATATGCATTACCTTAATTCTAAAGTCCCAGGACCCTCATTAAACCAAACTCCCTCCTTACAGGTCTTAGTGAGAGACTGACTCCAGGAAGTTCTGAGTATAGTCTCCTCCATAGAGAACACCTCTGAGTATTGCAGCACTATTTTTTCCCCCACTAGGGATCAAACTCAGAGCCTTGTGCAGGCTGGACAAGGAGCCCTTTTTTTTTTTTTCTTTAGATAGTGTCTTGCTAAGTTGTCCAGGCTCTGGCCTTAAACACAAGTTCAAGATCCTTCTGCCTCAGCCCCCAAATATCTGAGATTACAGATGTGGGCCACTATTGTGGGTTCCAGTACTATTTGAGCAGGTAATATTTATTTGTGTATTAGGATTTTGCCTTGGACTGAGAATGAATAGTTCATCCATATCCTCTGTAATTGTACTCTTGAGTCCACAATGCAGGAAATGTACCTAGACTCAGGTCTGTCCCTGGTGCCCCCACTGTCCATCTTTGTTTCCTCCAGTATGTGCCCTTTGCCTGATGGACTTTGTGAACTCCCTAAGGGCAGGAGCTTTATATTCTGCACCTCAGTATTTTCAAGGGTGTCCACACTGCTGGGCACGACCATAAGTGCCCAATATTAGGTACAAAATTATACCGACTTTCTCAGGCGTGGTCCTGCCAAAGCATCTGGCCAGATGTTCCCTTATGCACACCTCACTAACTGTCCCTCCCTGCCTCACCATCATAGTCACTTTTTCCATTGAATAACAATGTCTACCATTATACCTGTGAGAACCAGTCCAGAGACAACTTTCCTCTTGAAGAGAAGTAGCTGCTACTTCAGAGTGATGGTGACAGGAGGGGGACAGGAGATGACAGTAAATCCTGACAGCTTCAACCCATGGCACTTTGGGTGCTGTCACCTCTCGGGCCTGTGTAGGGAGAATAGGGAAGACCCCTGGGGGCTGCATGTGAAGATGAGAAACAAAGATTTATTCATTGAAAAAGGCCTCTAGGACTGAACTCAAAAGACACAAGCTCATTCATGTGTACGCCTCTCCAGAAGGGAGACCATAGCTACAGACTCACACCTACAACGTGATGCTCATTCAGCACAGGCGTTGGCGGAGGCTCCAGACGCACGCACACGTCTGGAGGGACTGCCGGAATGGGCACATACACCTACGAGGCATACACAGAATCCAGAGACAAGGACACAATGCGAAGGGTGACCCATCAGCCATTAGCACACATAGACTATGCAGATGAGTATACAGACCTAGCGGGCATTCCCGGGGTCCCTGGGGGCACAGGTGCAAGGGAGTGGGGGGTGCTCCCCACAGGCACTCGCCTAGGGGCCGCTCGCAGGGCCCAAACCACACACTCACCTCGCAGATGTTCACACAGGCACATCGCCAGAGGACGCAGACCCACGCCTAGAGGGCGCTGCAGGGTCCACAGCACACACACCGTGTCCGCCTCTGCCTTGGCGAGAGAGACCGAGGCGTGCGCGACGCCCTTCCAGGCCCGTGAGCGCCGGGTGGAAACCGCGGAGAGACTATCGAAGGCAGCACCAATCTTGGGCGGGAGCCCAGTGGCGCTGCCGCCATGGAGGCGCTGCTGCTGGGCGCAGGGTTGTTGCTGGGCGCCTACGTGCTCATTTACTACAACCTGGTGAAGGCCCCACAGTGCGGCGGCATCGGCAGCCTGCGGGGCCGTACGGCCGTGGTCACGGGTGAGTACGGGCGTGCAAGCGTACAGGAGGGCGCGGGAGGCTGAGCGGCGGTCCCCAGGCTCAGCTGGCTCCTGCTCGCCTCCCGCAGGCGCCAACAGCGGCATCGGCAAGATGACAGCACTGGAGCTGGCGCGCCGGGGAGCGCGTGTGGTGCTGGCCTGTCGCAGCTCGGAACGCGGGGAGGCTGCTGCCTTTGACCTTCGCCAGGTGAGGGAAAGCGGGGACGAGAGGCGCTGTAAGCCCAGGACACATCGGGACACAGAGGGGCATCGGGACACGCTCAGGAATCCAGTTCCTAAGAGGAGACAGCAGCTTTTTATAAGCACAAAAATGGGTGTGCAGAGTGCTCTTGTCCCATAGGGAAGGGACACCAGAACTGAGTTGAAAAGGAGGCTTCCAGTAGGTAGGGATTGCTGATCTGAAACGTAGGATCAGTAGGAGTTAGGTTCAGCAGAGTAACAGGAAAGGGAACTGTATATGCAAGGGTCCTGAGGCTAGAGTCAGATTTAAGGAACTGAAGGAAAAAAGTTTAGAGTCTGAAGCACAAAAACTATAAGGAAGATGGGGAAAGTGAAGAAGCTCCAAGCTAGGGCCAGGTTCTGAAAGCCATTAAAGATACCATTTAGGAGCTTGGACTTTATAGGAGGAGCAGCATAGCTCAGGAAAAGTCCTCAGAGGGGTCTGAAGTGTAAGAATAGCCTTTTGGAATGAAGCCTTTGCAGCTATGTTGTGTCTGGACTGAAGGAGGAAAGAGTGGGTGAGAGGACCAATGAAAAATCTGTTATAGATTTTAGGGTAAGTGATAATGGGGAGAGGGGATGCTAAGAATAATAGTAAATACCTACACAGTACTAACTGTAGGTTTTTTACAAATATTAATTCATTTAATCCTCACAACAACTCTGAGATAGGGACTACTGTTATTCCCATTTTACAGTGAGAAAATTGAGGCCTAGAGCAATTAAATATCTTGCCCAAAGTCATACTCCAGTGAGAAACAAAGTTAGAATTGGAATCCGTTATCCATTACTCTTGAATGCACAGAAGCAGGTTTTAGTAATAGTAAGAGGTGGACTTTCAGAATTGGGTCCCCGGGAAGAGGGAAGAGGAGAGAGGTGCTTGGTGACAATCCCAGCCCTTGCCACTCCACAGGAGAGTGGGAACAATGAGGTCATCTTCATGGCCTTGGACTTGGCCAATCTGGCCTCGGTGCGGGCCTTTGCCACTGCCTTCCTGAGCTCTGAGCCTCGGCTGGACGTCCTCATCCACAATGCCGGTGAGGGGCAGCAGGCCCTGCAGGGGGTGGGGGGGGTGGCCCTGCCAGGGGCCTATAGACATATGGGAAGGATCCTCCCTACTCCTTTCTCACTGATGGGGATACTGAAGCATTCAGGGCTCCTTCTAGAGCAGTGACTCACACCTAGCCCCTGCCCCAGGGATCAGTTCCTGTGGCCGGACCCGGGAGGCCTTTAATCTGCTGCTTCGGGTGAACCACATTGGCCCTTTCTTGCTAACACATCTGCTGCTGCCTCGCCTGAAGACTTGTGCCCCTAGCCGTGTGGTTGTGGTATCTTCAGCTGCCCATCGGCGTGGGCACCTCGACTTCACCCGCCTGGACCGCCCAGTGGTGGGCTGGCAGCAGGAGCTTCGGGCATATGCTGACAGTAAGCTAGCCAACGTATTGTTTGCCCGGGAGCTCGCCACCCGGCTTGAAGGCACTGGTGTTACCTGCTATGCAGTCCACCCAGGTGAGGCCTGGCTTTTTGCTCCTCCTGATTCCCCCATCCTCTGCTCCCAAAGCCTGTCATTGAGTTAAGGGAACTCAGAGCAAGAAAGAAGAATGGTCCAAGGAGAGACATGGTCCTTGCTGATCTTGAAACCAGGCTCTCCTCATCTGGGTTCTTCTCTCACACCACAAACTTGGATGCTGACCACTGCGGGGGCCTGGCAAGAATAAGACCTGGGTTCTCCCCCTTCAGATCCATCTATACTGATGGGACTGACTGTAATATGATGGCAATGATGACAATGTTGATAGCTAGTAATTATTTACTCATTTATAGAGCATTTACTGAGTACCTACTACACATCAAGCATTATTCATGATGTTAGTGTTATAACAATAAACAAAGACTTTGGCCCAGGGCTATACCTGAGTGGTAGAGCTTGTGCTTAGCATGCACAAGGCCTGGGATTCAGTCCCCAGCATGCGTGTGCGTGCACGTGCGCACGCACGCGCGCACACACACACACACACACACACACACACACATATATATCAAGGGCCTTACCCTTATAAAGTCTGTATTCTACCTTGGGGGAGGGAGAGTTAGCTGATAAATACACATATAGCAGTGACACATGGTAATAACTTTGGGGAAAGATAAAGCAGGTTAAGGGGAGCTTGAAATCCAAGGAGGTGCTATTTCATGAGTGGTAGGCAAAGAAAACATCTGAAAATGTGACATTTAAACAGGCCTGAAGGAGATGAAGGGTGAGCCAAGTATCTTTCTGGAAAGAACCTCAAAAAGAGAAAGGAGCAAATAGTGAGTGTAAAGGCCCTGGGGCAGAAGTTCCTGGTGTGCTTCAGGAAGGCTATTATGGCTAGAACAAAGTAAAGGAAAAGAGTGGTAAACCATGAGATTGTAGAAATGGGTGGGGTTGCATAGGGTTTGGAGGTTCACTGTAACATTTTGACTTTTACTCTGAGTGAGACAATTAGTGAATAGACTCATTCTTGCCTTTAGAGAACAGATTACACTGGGACAGCAAGATCTGCCCTACCCATATTATTGTACTGTATTTTAGATAAACATTACCTAAGACTCATTAGTAATATAATAGTGATAATAATAATAATCATAACTAACCTTTATTAAGCTATTATTACAACTTCACATCCTTAATGTCCAAAACATTGTCTAATATACCAATAGGTTCTTTTTGTTTGTTTGTTTGTTTGTTTGAGAGAGGCTGTAGCTCTGTAGGTCAGACTGGCCTTGAACTCATGATCCTCCTGCCTCACCCTCCTGAGTGCTGGGATTATAGGCATATACTGTACCACAATGTCCATCCCACCATAGGTTCTTTTTTGTGTGTGTGTGATACTGTGAATTGAACTCACGGCCTTTACACTGAGCCACATTCCCACCCCTTTTTTACTTTTTTATTATGAGACAGGGTCTTGGTAAGTTGCCCCAACTCAGGCCCATCCTCCTGCTTCAGCCTCCCAGAGTACTGGGACAATAGCCATGCCCCATCATGCCTGGCTTCACCATAGCTTCTTTTTGTTTTTTGGTACTGGGGATCGAACTCGGGAACCATAGCTTCTTAATACTGGTTAAACAAAGGAACAGTGCTGGAGCTAGAAGAAAAATGGAGATTGGGAGGCAGGGGACATAACATTATCAAAATCTGGAAGATGGGGGTATACAAGCAGTTTGGATGGAGGGAAAGAGGATTCCTGCAGGAAATGGCGATGAGGGGGACACTGAATGCCTGGTAGGTACTATTCTAGTTTCTCTGGAACCAGATTCTGTCCCCTACTCCCCTGTCAGCTTTTCTTTCCATTCCTTGTACCCTGGGCCCTCACCCACCATTCTCCCCAACTCCATTCTTTCTTTGTATCCATAGGACCTGTGAACTCTGAGCTATTCCTGCGCCACGTTCCTGGATGGTTACGCCCACTTTTGTGCCCATTGGCTTGGCTGGTGCTCCGGACACCCAAAGGGGGTGCCCAGACACCGCTGTACTGTGCTCTGCAAGAGGGCATTGAGCCCTTCAGTGGGAGATATTTTGCCAACTGCCATGTGGAAGAGGTGCCCCCAGCTGCCCGAGACGACCGGATAGCCCACAGGCTGTGGGAGGCCAGCATGAAGCTGGCAGGGCTTGGACCTGAGGAAGAGGAGGAACCTGATGAAGAACCTCAGCTGGAAGACCTAAGGACCCCATCTTTATTGAGTACCCCATACTCTTGGGAGCCCACAGACTTGTCTAAGATGACCCACCGAATTCAGGTGAAAGCTGAGCCTGAACCCCAAGTCTCCTAACCCCCAGGCCAAGATGCTTTTCATGACACTCCTTGACCCCTGGAAACCTTGCCCTGGGCACTGAGGGGTTTGCCATTTTTACCTCCATTGTTACTTTCTGGAGGCTCTGGGTGTGTCCTGGAAGGAAATAATGACTGTTTCTTCCTGAGAGGGACAGTAACTCCTGATTCAGGGATAGGGAGGGTAATGTGCTTCTCAGGAATTTAAATTTCAGATTTCCAGGCCCTACCCTGGATGGTTCAGATCCGATCTAGGGCAGAACCAGAGAATTTGTGATTTGATGCACTGCCAACACTGAGAAGGACTGAACTGAGCCCTTTGCAACCATCTAGATAGGTAGTTAAATTACCCCATATTGGCTAGGCATGGTGGCGCGCAGGCCTGTGATTCTCAAACTCCAGAGGCTGAGGCAGAAGGATCGTTGTGAGTTTGAGTCCAGCCTGGGCTACATAGTGAGACCCTGGCTCCAAATAAAATTACCCCATTTTACAGAGGCGGGATAAGGTCCACAGGAAAGGACTCGCCCAGCCCAAAGACTAAACCAGTAAGGACAGGGACTGCAATTTGCGCCCAGGGGTCTAACACCAGGACCCGCTGCTGTAAGGTGGGTGTCCCCAGGTGGAGCGGGACAGTGGTTTATCGCGGTACCCCAAGGGAGTAGGGAGACGCCCTCCAGGGTGCCTTGGGGCTGGGTCCCTTAGGGTGGTGCCCCCTGTAATAAAGTGAGTTGACGGCCTGGGCTCCCCCGTCTCCTGCCTCTCTCAACATGCCGGCCCCGCCCTCCGCCGCCACACTTCCGGCGGGGCTGCGACCACGGAGGGGCGCGCGGGCGCTGGGGGTGGCGGGATAGGCTGGGCGAGGCCGGCTCTGCGGTCGGGCGGCCCTAGTCGGGTCCGTGTGGCTGGAGGGGCTCCGCGTCCCGCCGGCGCCATGGGCAACTGCCACACGGTGGGGCCCAACGAGGCGCTAGTGGTTTCAGGTAAGGGAGCGGCGAGGGAGATGGGTCCTGGGATCCCCAGGGCTGGAGGAGGAACGGAGCAGGCCAGGGCCGGCCAAGGGCTGGGAAGGTTGGGGGTCACGGTCGGGGCGCCGCGTACTGGGCCTGGGTCTCCACCGGCCCCGCTGATGCACCCGAGACCCCTTCCGGAGAGACGCCCATACACCCGCTTTCCCAGCTCCGCGCTGTCGGGCACTCACCAGCGGCTCCCCTACCCATTGCGTTTTTTCCTGTGTTTATTTCTTCCTCTCTCCGCCTTTTCCGTGGGCAGGCCCTCCCTTGTACATTACTCGACCGTGCACTGTGGGCTTGGGGTCGCGCACTGTAGCCTTGCAGTTCTGGGTGGGAGGGGACCTGTGGTTCCTTGGAACACAGTAGTTTGGGCTGGGTTCCAGCGCCCGGGACTAGGGGTGGTTCGGCCAGCTCTAAAAGCCAGGTGCCTGCCTGGAGAGGGGTTCAGAGACCTGGGTTGTTTCTCCTGCACGGTCAGACCCGTTAGTTCCGAGCAGGCTGGGGCTTGCTTGGGTTACTGGCATCCACCCTACCCCCACACACCCCCGCCCTGGAGATGTGGGTGCGGCCTCTACAGGTTGGGAAACCCGGCTCTGGCCTATGCAGCTCTGGATTGCAAAATGCTGCAAGCTCCAGGACGTCTCTAGGTGGAGCTTGGGTACTGCAGCCCTGGGAGAGGGGTGTGCATCTCGCCTTAAAGCTGCTGTTTACATTGTGTATTTATGTCTTAGGAGGTAGCCTTTCAAGCCCCAGAATGGGCAGTCCCTGGCCCCTAGGTGTGGGGGAAGGGGCCTGTTGCCTGACAGCTTGGAAACCTGCAGCTGTAGGGATCCCCAGGGACCGTGATCAGCATTGATTTTCAGTGTGTGCAGAGCGAGTAGAAGCCCTGAGCCAGAAATTATAGCTTCCCATCCTTGGTGAGGTATGATAAAGACACTGGAAAGCTTCACCCCAAAACGTGGCCTGAGGCACAGTTTGGATCTCAAAATCAAGTCTCTCCACAATTCAGAACTCAGTTCCTCTGAGAGATAAGATGCTCCCCCCAACACACACACACCTCTGAAGAGACGCCCAAAAAGCACTAAGGCCAACTTGCACCTCTATAAGATCCAGTCCTGTCTCCCAGCCCCCACCCTTAGAGAAACCTGAATTTACACTGCACTTTTTCTTGTGGAATTTCTTTCAGGAAGCCCAGACTCTGGGCTGAGGAGATAAAAGCTTCCATTCTGTCCCTGTGGAAAATCTTGAGACTATAGTGTGAGAGGAGCCCCTGAGATGGACTACTCCTTACCTTCCATTTCCTGGGAACCATTGGCGAGTGCCACCTGGGGAGCTGTTTTAGGGATGAGGAGAAACCTTGCCAACAACTGGGGGTGCTGGAGTCAAGGGAGGGAGAGGAAAGAGAAGGATAATGCCTGGCATAATGATTCCTTGGGATTTGAGCCAATCAAGCTAAGATGCAGTTCCGTCTTGCACATGGTCCCAGCAGCTGCTCCAAGCCCTGCCTTTGTTGGTCTCCAGTCCCCTTGGACCTGCAGCTAAGCCCAGAGGCATCTCACTCAGCCCAGATTCAGGAGTAGGCTGGTGTATCTCATGATCATCTTTTCTTTTCTTCCTTTTTTCTTTTTTTTGAGACAGGGACTTCCTATGTTTGTAGCCCAGCTTAGCCTCAAACTCATGGCGATCCTCCTGGCTCAGCCTCCCAAGTGCTGGGATTACAGGCGTGCACCCAGCTACATTTATGAACATTTGCAGGAGAGATCTTTAGGTTTTGCTGGACTACCAACAAGATTTGTGGCTCAAAACAGGCGAAAACAGCTGGACATAGCGGTAGATGCCTATAAAACCAGCACTCTGGGAGGCTGAGGCAAGAGAATCATAGGTAATAAGGGAAGGGGGATGTACTATCTCAGAGTAAGTGCCCTAGGTTCAATCATTGTTTAAAAAAAAAAGTGGCCAAGTGTGGTGGCACATCCCTATAATCCCAGCACTGGGAAGGCTGAGGCAGGAGGATCTCCACAAAGTTCAAGTCCAGCCTGAACTACAAAGCAAGACCCTATCTCAAAAAAATAAAACTGGGGGCCCAGGGATTTAGCTCAGTGGTTCTGCCGCTTGCCTCGCAAGTGCAAGGACCTGAGTTCAGTCTCCAGTACGAAAAAAAAGAAAAAAATAAATAAATAAAATTGGGGCCAGGGATTTAGTTCAGTGGTTCTGGCGCCTGCCTCACAAGCACAAGGTCGTGAGTTCGATCCCCAGTACCAAAAACAATAAAATAAAATAAAATAGAGGGGGTCTTTTTTATGGTCTTTTCCAGTAGAAGGAAGGTGGGGGGAGCACAAAAGGGAAGAGAGTGCTCTGGAGAGGGCAGTAACAGGCTTTGTCTTTGGAGGAACAGAGGGTTCTCGCTTCTCGGCCTTTTGGCTAAGATCAAGTGTGGAGGAATCAAGGGTGAAACAGGTTATCCCCAGATATTTTGTGTTATTTCAGCTTGATTGAAGACAGAACAAGGGAAAGTAAACTGGGTTAGGAAAGGTGAGATAAAGCCAGGCATGGTGTCGCACAGCACTCTGGAGGCTGAGGCAGGAGAATTGCTGAGTTTGAGGTCAGCCTGAGCTACATAGAGAGACCCTGTCTCAAAAGAAAAAAAGAAAAAAAAAGGAAAAAGTGAGACAAAATTAAGGGAAGCGTCTAGGTCTTAAAATGAGTTAAAGGTGGGGAGGTCAAGGAAGAAGTATCCAATTGACCCTTTAGGGAGTGGTACTCAGGCTGAGTGACCAGGAAGTTTTTGGTTTTTGGTTTTTTTGGTACCGGGGATCAAACCCAGGACCTTGCGCTTTGGAAGCAGGTGGCGGCACCACTGAGCCAAATCCCCAGCCGTTTGTTTTGTTTTGCTTGGGTTTTGTTTTTGGTACCAGGGATCGAACTGGGGTTCTTGCGCTTGCGCAGCAGGCGGCGAAACCAAATGAGCTAAATCCCCGGCCTCCTTTTTTTTGACCAGGAAGGGTTTTTTTGTGGGGGTTTTTTTTGGTACCGGGGATCGTACTCAGGTCCTTCCGCTTGCGCAGTAGGAGGCGAAACCACTGAGCTAAATCTCCGGCCCCTGACCAGGAAGTTTTGAAGAAAGTGCACTCCAGGGGAGGAGCTTGCTAGAGGCGGGGCTTCCTTTTGCTGCCCCTGGATCCTGGCTTGTTGCCCTTGGCAAGGCCTAACTTGAGCTCTGGCAGCTTGCTCCCAAGGTCAAAGGCTATGTGAAAGGTGCCCAGCACCCTCTCTTCTCCCATCTCCTCCCACAAAACATTGAGAAGTCCCTGGAGCTGGCCAGAGGCAGCTATGCCCCAGCCTTCGCCAAACAGAAGATGTGAAGTAAGCTGTAGTTTTTGACCCTTTTCCAGTTTCACTTGATCCAAGATGGTTTAGGTTTCAGATTAACTGCTTGTTCTCAGAGGCCTCTCTTGCAACACCTCCCAAAACAGAGAAGCCTAAAAAGGCCTACCCTGAACAACATCCCTGTGCATAGGGATTTTCACCCCAGAGAAACAGAGCACCCACACTAAGGAGATGTTCTTTGATCTTGGACCTGTGGTATGGCTACAGGTTGAGTATCCCTTATCAAAAATGCTCAGGACCAGAAGGTTAAATTTCAGATTTTTTTGTACTTTGGAATATTTGCATGTACATAATAAGATATCTTTACATATAGATAACGAGATAGCTTAGGGATGAGACCCAAGTTTGAACATTAAATTCATTGTTTCATATACACATTATTTTGTTTTTCCTTTTTTTTCAGTACCAGGGATCGAACTCAGGACCTTGCACTTTCGAGCCAGGTGCACTGCTATTGAGCTAAATCTCCAACCCCTCATATACACTTTGTACACATAGCCTGAAGGTGATTTTGTACAGTATTTTGACTGCAACTGTTCACATGAAGTCAGGTGTAGAATTTTCCAATTGTGTCATCCTGTTGACACTCAGAAATTTGTGTTTTGGCTGGGTGTGGTAGTTGGATACCTGTAATCTCTGCAACTTGGGATGCTGAGACGGGGATCATGAGTTCAAGGTCACCAGGGGCAACTTAGCGAGATCCTGTCTCAAAGATGTAGCTCAGTGGTAGAGTTGCTGTGGGTTCAATCCCAGTGCCAGAAAAACAGAGGTTTGATTTTGGAGCATTTGAGATGTTCACATTAGGGATGTTCAACCTGTATTAGCACCCTATGCACAGTGGCAGACCCAGGAAACTAGGTTTGGCTGCCCAATGAGAGTCTTAGATACCAGCTCTCCAAGTTTAGAAGCCCTGTCCATTTGAGAAATTGAGAGTGAGAGGGTGATAGCAGGTATGCCTCATGGTATTATGATCAGCCCGAGAAATGCCTCTTCCTCTTAGTTTCTTCTTGGGAACTGCATCTGCCTCTATATATCCCTTGCACTAAAAAAGACTACTTGTTTGTTGAATGAATAAATAGTTGAGTGAAAAATGTAAGCTTTTCCAGAGCAACCCTCCTCACTAACCTATTCTGTCCTCTGGAAGCACTTTGTCTTAGTCACTTTCTTGCCGCTAGATAAAATGTCCATGCCCACCACTTAAAGAAGAAGAAATTTATTTTGACTGGCGTTTGTAGTCCAGGGTGGGCCAACTCCCAGAGCAGAAACAGCATGGCAGAGAGGCATGGTGGACAAAAAGCTGGTCACGTCATGGCAGCCAGAAAGCAGACAGAGAAGGGTGAGCCA